AGGACGTGATTGAGCGATGCGAACGAGATCATCTTGAAAATTAAACGTAACGGTACTTTCTTTCCATCGGTCTGTCTTAGGGGAAACCTATAACTTAGGCGATACGAAGTTCGCCGGGTCAGCTAGTATTAATATAAAATCCATTTCTATACATTTAAATTGGAGTCAATATTTTCCGATGGTGTATAGGAGGCACTACAAAGAGCGATGTCACTAATAGAGTCTAAAATGTACCATAGACAACCAAATTTTGAATGATAAGGATATGTTTAACTTTTGTTAAAACAAACCCTTAAAGGAATTCAATACTTTTATGTAGGCAGCAAAGAATTAGCAAAAAAATTAAATTAGAACTTCAATTTCGACTCAAAGGACGTCTACCAATTCCCTGAACACAATTCTCTAACAGATTTGTTCCTGTGGCAGTCAACAAAGAGTGTTTTAAAACACCAAAATGCTTAAAATATATAATTTAAATATAACATAATACTTCCTACGCTATTACGGCTATAATGCTTATTTAGTACTTTTCAATGTTTCATAACTTTGAAACCAGTTGAGTCCACAAAATAAAATTATTACAGCATAATACTCTTACTTAGTACTATATCTGAGCCAAATTTGAAATTTTTATTTTCATGCCCAACAAAGATATTAAGCATCAAACTTTTGAAATTTTGAAAATTTTAAGATTTTGACAATTTTTATTTAAAACCCTATGAAAGTCCACAACTTGAAACTTTGAGAATTTGGAGTACACACCTATAACTATCAGATAAAAAAATGACAAACACATAGTCAATTGCCTTTATATAAAAATAAATTGTTTAAAATCAGTATTCGTAACATCGTTGCGTTAAACTTTAAACAGGTAATTAGACCTATACATTTAATTTTAAGTGCATCAATATATTACAATATTAAAGTTCAGATCTTTCTGTAGAGATTGGTTTTTATTTTAGTGTTCTAGGATTAGTAGAACCAGAGATATTAAATTTCACGCAGAGCTCTGAAATCGCTGAAAACGGCCGTTCGAGTAACAAAAAAATGGCCGCCATACAGTAGAAAAATAAAATAAAAATAAAATAATTGTATTTTTGTACTTCTAATAATATATACTTTCAAGGATAAAAATATGAAAAAAATTAAAAATCTTGAAGCAACCAATTAATTTATTTCTGGACCACTTGATATGGATTGACCCTTTCTCAAACAGTTGGGGAAATGTTTATTTGTGTAACTAGTGGGCGAAGTGGCACTTTGCTGCACACGAGAGAAATCAAATCAAATCAAATCAAATCGTTTATTAAGCCAGAATTAACAAAATATTTTACAATTTGTATTGGCTAAGTCATCATTACAACTATTTACAGAGATCTTATGCAGTACTAAAAGCTATACAGTTCTATATACATATTTAAGCTACATCACTATTCATCGAGCTGATTTTATTTACAAATTCTTGGACGCTGTAACAGGTAAACTTTATCAACAAAGATTTTAATTGCTTTTTAAATTTTAGCAGGTTTGGTTCAAGTTTAAGAGGAAGTGGAAGTGAGTTAAAAAGTGTTATGCCATTGTACAGTAAGTGCTTCTTGAAAAATGTTGTTGAATGTTTAGGAATTGGTAATGTGTGTGAATTGCGCAATGTGTATTGGTGTTTTACAGAAAAGTCAAATTTAGAAAATTCTTGTTTCACAAATGTTAAAGATTCAAGAATGTAAATAGATGGGAATGTCAAAATTTTTGAATTAAAAAAATATTTACGGCATGATTTACGCCTTTTTAGAGAGAAAACAGTTCTCACAGCCATTTTTTGGAGTTTAAACAACATTTTAGTCTGCTGGCACTCGCAACCCCAAATAGGAACGGCGTATGCTAAGTGAGGATAAATTAGCCCATAGTATGCCGTCAACAATATCTCCAGATTCTCATTGTTCCTGAGGTTACGCAGAACGAAAATACCAGAACTGAGTTTTTTTGAAATGTAATTGATATGGTCATGAAATCTAAGATTCTCGTCTAAGATCAACCCAAGGAACTTGACATTTGGTGTAGGGTGGACCTCAGTTTCATCCAGAAGGAGACTAAACCCACTGTTTGATCGGTTTGAATGATTTGATAAGCGGAAGTTAATGAGCTGTGTTTTGTCTGTGTTGATTTTCAATAAACTGTCGCCAAACCATTGAATTATAGCGTTTGCATCCAAAAAACTAATTTGTTCCAGATTTAGAAAATTGGAGCTAGAAACTGAGAGAGAGGTGTCGTCGGCGAACAGGGATAACTTTGAGGAGGTTATGCAGGAAGAGAGGTTGTTAATAAAAAGAAGGAAAAGGACTGGTCCCAGGACGGAGCCCTGAGGTACCCCCCTAGCAACAGAATTCTCAGCAGAAGGGTAGGCTCTAACGCACCCAGCCTCATCAACTGCTCTTATTTCTACGTATTGCCTTCTGCCACAAATGAATGACCTGACCCAATCTAAGGCCGCTCCTCTTACGCCCACATTACTCATCCTATCGAGCAATAAGTTATGGTCCACTGTGTCGAACGCAATGTTTTAGCACGAGCCGTAGTCGAGTGTGGAAAGTTTCTCGAGTGCAGCAAAGGCAGTTTGTACTCGCGTTACACATTATATTTTTATACAGTTACTATAAAGGATATAAATAATTAGTCTTTCAAACACTTTACAGCTTGTTTTTAGGTTAGGTTATGTCCAAACATTAAACGAAATAGGAAACGCTGCACCAGCTGTTCGTAGTCGTAATATCAAGTGTTGCCAACTTATTGTCAAGCGTACCCATATTACGTGCCTAACAAAAGCACGCTGTTTTGCTTTGTTTGATTGCAAATACAACTGTGCGGCAAAAGTAAGAAGATGCAGCAATTAGCAACTTTCTGTGCTGTAATCAGTGCAAGGAAGGCCACTTTGTCAGATGACTGTAGGAAAAAGATTTGGGCTGGGATAAATTACTAGACAAACCAAAATGAAGGGAATGGAATATTATATATTCATTTTGGTTTGTCTAGTAATTTATCCCAGCCCAAATCTTCATTACATGTATTATTACATATATTATATCAGCAAATATCATTACATACATTATATGTAATGATATTCTTAAAGTAACTGAACTTTCTATTCCTAGATACACAGGATTATGAGCAGATCATGTAGGACTACATTGTTACAGGTGCATTTAATGTTGTATATTCGTGTGCTGTTTATATCAAATTAATTAATGAAGAGACTGTAAAAGCGACTCAGGTTTTGTAAAAGTCATTTAACAGCAAAGTCAAAGTCGAAAATTACCTTACCAAGACTTGAACTATTAGGTATGTTAATTGGAACAACAGCGTTACGTTTTGTGGAAAAATCCTTAGGACTTCCTGTTGTAAACAAGATACTGTGTCCTGATTCACAATGCATGTTACATTGGATCAACAATACAAAGCTACATCTTAAGTTTGTGGAAAGAAGAGTAATAGAAATCATAGACAACATCGAGAAACAATTTAGATACGTTCCTTCTCAGGAAAATCCAGCTGATATGGCGACTCAAGATACGATGGATAATCTAAAACACTGCAATGAATGGCGGTCAGGTCCACAATGGCTGTCTTGTAGTAAATACATGTGGCCAAATTGTTCTTTTGATTTGAACAATCCCTTAATTGAAGATGATATCGTTGAAGCTGCTGAAGAAAACTTTGTCACCTTGACTATTAAGACCGAAAACGTGAGTGAAACTAGTACTTTTGGCATAAATATAAAAAGGTTTTCTTCTGAAAGAGGATTTAGACAAAATTTGATTGTAAGAGATTTAAAGGTGGATGCAGATGGAATAAACGGTAAAATATTCCTATGTCTGAAGAACTCAAAAATGCTCGTTCATCAAGAATTACAAACGTTCTAAGCACATGTTTTAGTGAAACACTAAGTAATATAAGGGACAGTAGGTATGATAGATTGCAGATTAAACTCTTATTTATTGATAAGAATGGACTTATCAGATGCAAGGGTAGGATCTCAAATGCAGATCTTGAAGAACATTGTAAGTTATCTTTACTTCTAACTAAGAATTATATCTTTACTCAACTGCTTATAAAAGAGTGTCACTGTAAGATTTTTTAATTGAGAGTGCAACAGGATCTCTCCGAACTTCATAAAACCTACTGGATTATCCATGGTGGGCCATACCTTACAAAGGTACAAAGGATACAAAGGTAGGTGTTGCTATCTCAAATACTCTCTCTCCCAAACAGAACAGGTGATTGAAATACCTTTACAATTTAAAGGACTACATCACTGTGCTTTATGTTAAATCCTTTCAAGATTCTAGAATTGTTTTGAAAGTTTTCGGTTGTATATTCACCTGTTTAGTCACAAGAGCTGTTCATTTAGAGATCACCAATAACTTGTTCAGAAGAATTCTTACTGTATCTCAGGAGGTTTGTGGGAAGGAGAGGAACTCCGAAGAAGATTAACTTAGGCAACACAACTCAGTTTTAAAATGCTTCCTCATTCTTGAAGGATATGTTTGTTGAACATCTCAATACACCAGAAAGTGAAAATCGCACCGAAATTGCACCTTGGATGGGAGGAATGTGCAAGAGGTTGAAATCTATGTTAAAGAGGTGTCAAAGAAATAGTATTGGTGCAGTCACTCTAACTAAATTACAACTCGACACTGTGATGATTGAAATAGAAGCTGTCATCAACTCAAGAGCACTAGTTTATGCATCTTCCTCTGATCAAAGATTTAATGATGGCTGTCGTATCGTCAGCATATTATAACAACAAACTAGGTTTAACATTCTTAGGTAGATCATTAATGTACATCAAAAACAATAGCGGCCCTAATATAGAGCCCTGGGGCACCCCATGACCCATCATATCTCAAACTCGGCGCCCTTGCGGTCCAAATCACGCCAAATTGAGACTATGATGATTTCTCTTAAAACTGTGAGAGTTCATATGTATGAAAGTCTAGACCAATTACCTGAGAAGGTCCAAGAGCGCTGTAGGCTACGCTTGACCGTCTCCACAGCATTGATGCGGTTGTCTCGCCTCTTGCTTGGCCGCCGCACAAATTGGTTCATCCACTCCCCGGATGCAGCCGTCAGCTCCCTGCAAGAATCATCCTCAGTTAACAATTACCAATATTAAAATAAAGCCCTTGATCTAAAAGGCTGTCCCTTCTGGGGAAACAAGAAATTAGATTGACCAGCCGTTGATCATAACAATTGGAAATGGCGTATGGTTCTGATAAACAATAAGCTTGAGCATAGATATTCCTTGACTTCCAAGAGGTAGCCTTTATCAGGTACAGCTAACAACCAAGTTTCATTCACTTACACTTGCATAGAGATAAAGATTTGGTTACCTTACTCATGATAGCTGATCCCTTTAGGGTTTGAAGACCTAAACTATTTAAATCTTAAAAACCTGCGTACTGACATGTGTTTGAAGCAGACTGTACACAGCCAGTCGGACGTCTGATTGGTCGTGTACTCCCGACAGTTCTTGCACACCCTGTGTCTGCACCACCGACAGAACGCTCCTCTGTTGATGATACGACCAAGCTCTGCGCGGCACCTCGCGCACGCCCGTGCGCTACTCGCTCCCTCGCCACTCTTGATCGCTCCTTTCTGTTTCACAGCCTGTAGTTCCAATTTCAGTCTCCTGAAAAAATAATTTCTTATTAATTACTTGGTACATTTTTATTCTTCCACTTGATACACAATTTATAGTTAGCAAACAACTTTCGGGTGGTTACCATACACTACCATTTTAAGCTTCACAAAACATGTCATCCAGTCATTAATTATTGTCTTAGCATAAATGATGTAGCGATAAAAAAAAAAAAATCATGATATTTTTCCTCTGTCAACTTACTATGGATTTCTCACAAAAACACAAAAGTTTTTTTTCTAACTAAATGCAACTAAAGTTTAACAAATTTTTAACAATGTGTAACCAAAAAGGTAAGATCTTAGGTTTCATAGAGTTGTAAATCTCTAGATACCTGTAAAGAAAAATCACGATTATTCAATGTTAAAATTGGCACTTCAAGTTTAACATTTCAAAACACAAGAAATAAAATTATTACAATATTATTATATCATCTAGGTAAGCAAAAATCATTACGAATTCCGATTGCCAACCCTTCTACAACCCCTCTCATAATTCCAATGGACCCAAATCAGTAATACCATTCTTTGCATAATTCCAACTGATCAACAGATATAACGACAACTTTAGCATGATCCCAGTGGACTAACAGAAATAAACCTAACTCTTGCATTATCCCGACCCGAGTGTTTAAGAGGAATATTGCCAACTCTAACATAACCCAGGTGCACTTTTAAACCTTTAATAATCCCAGTGAACCACCCCAAATAACACCAATCCTTGCAAAATCTAGATGCACCAACAGGCAACGTCAACCCATGTGTAATCTAGGTGTGCACCAATAAACAACAATATCAACCCATGCATAATTCAGGTGCACCAACATACAACTTCAACCCTTTTATAATCCAGGTGCACCAACATACAATGTCTACCCTTGCATGATTAAGGTGCACCAAAATACACAACATCCACCCTTGCATAATCCAGGTGCACCAACATACAACAACATCAACCCTTGCATAATCCAGGTGCACCAACATTTAACAACATCAACCCTTGCATAATCCAGGTGAACCAACATTTAACAACATCAACCCTTGCATAATCCAGGTGCACCAACATTTAACAACATCAACCCTTGCATAATCCAGGTGCACCAACATTTAACAACATCAACCCTTGCATAATCCAGGTGCACCAGCATACAACAACATCCACCCTTGCATAATCCAGGTGCACAAACAATTAACAACATCAATCCTTGCATAATCCAGGTGAACCAACATACAACATCAATCCTTGTATAATCCAGGTGCACCAACATACAACAACATCCACCCATGCATAATCTAGGTGCACCAGCATACAACAACATCAACCCTTGCGTAATATATGTGCACCAACATACAACAACATCAACCCATGCATAATCTAGGTGCACCAGCATACAACAACATCCACCCTTGCATAATCCAGGTGCACCAACATACAACAACATCAACCCTTGCATAATCCAGGTGCACCAACATACAACAACATCAACCCATGCATAATCTAGGTGCACCAGCATACAACAACATCAGCCCTTGCGTAATATATGTGCACCAACACACAACATCATCAACCCATGCATAATCTAGGTGCACCAACAGAGAACGCCAACCCTTGCGTAATATAGGTACACCAACATACAATAACATCATCAACCCATGCATAATCCTAGTTGAATAACAGAAATAACATCAAACCCTTGCATAATGCAGGTACACCAAAGTAGAACGTCAACCCTCGCATAATCCAGGGACGCCAACATACAACAACATCAACCCTTGCATAATCCAGGTACCCCAACAGACAATGTCTACCCTTGCATGATTCAGGTGCACACATACAACAACGTCCTCCCTTGCATAATCCAGGTACCCCAACAGATAATGTCTACCCTTGCATGATCCAGGTGCACCAACATACAACAACGTCAACCCTCGCATAATCCAGGGGCGCCAACATACAATAACGTAAACCCTTGCTTAATCCAGGTGCACCAACAGACATGACGTAAATCCTACAATCGCAGTGGACCTACAGAAGTTAAGTTAATCGTATTAAGTAAGAACCACGGATGCTTGCACGAGTGCAGTACAGTTGCAATAATGAAACGCTACGAAGTGCCTTTGTCCCGGCAAGCAGTCGTTGCAGCTGGAGCGGGTCAGCACCGTTATTCCGTCGTACCGGCACCAGCGGCACATGGTTCCGCCAGTGTCCCCGGTACAACATAACCAGTGAAAGTGGAGTTACCGGTTATCATCATCACTACTTAGATCTCGGGTGCAATATCGTAGTCCATCTGATGAAGACGCAACAGTTTGAGAATTGAAGAGAGACGCTCAGATCCTTCTGATTGGTCTGTGATTCATCGTCATCGAACAGCTGTTTATACATAGCAACTTGCTAAAAAGTGTTCAACATGTTATTTCATGCTAAGTGAAAATAGAACAAAATAAGTAACAAACAATGTTTTCTTACAGACTTTGTTTAGTGTTTTTCAAATTTTACCCAAAAGGGGTTGGTGACATCAAAGTTGTTCAACTTGCACACATTTTAAAACACTAACACCAATACAAAACATACAATTATAACGTAGACAAGTCGATAAGCAAATCAATCAAAACAAGGTTTTAGGTGGGATACTACACATTTTATCTGATGAAAACAAAAAGTGTCTAGGCCTAAGCGTGTACAGTATTATCAAAGAAAAAATTATCCAATCAAACAGGATACAAGGTATCAATTAAACAATAAAGGATGGAAAAGTTTAAAAATTACAAACAAAAATTACAACGACAGTTTGAGCTTCGAAGATGTATTTTAAAGAAAGGCCTCCTTAAAAATCAATCAACGAAGAAATATTACATCTGAACCTCAGAAACAATTTACTTCATACGGTATTGTAACCGGAATTTTATAAATATGGATACCATAGATTAGACTTCTTTGCTTGTACAAATTACAAAAAAAATACTTCAAAAGGCACACCAAAAAAACCTTCTGGTTTTACAATTGGACGGGAAATCTATGGACAAAAGTGACGTCATCTGCACACGTATAAACTTAACTTACTTCAGAAACTCGTCGAACCCAAATCTGGAGTCCCACTCATCTTATGAAATCGTAGCAAACATTTCATACTCTCGCACTGAATTCTCGTAAACAATATGTAAGGTGTTGGCGTTATCTATTTAGGCCGCCACAACTCAATGTAAACAATAACATGGTCACAATGGCGGTGAACGGTCGAACGGACGTAGGGTACCCATGACCTACCTCTACCACGTACATAACCTTTACATGACAAACACCGTGTAGTAGTCTAGGATTGGCAAAAAGCTGCACTATAGTCCGTTCACAAAATGTAGGCGGTTTAGGATTAAGCTTTCTTTGTTCACCCACTGCATGCTTAAATCTAAAGGTTGTCCTTTAGGTACAAGAAAATTCAGGAATAGGTTTAATTGGTCAAAATAAAACGAAAATCAAGAATAACATGTTTTCCAAAAATGCCTTAGCAGTGAGATATCCGCTATTTTTTTAGGGTTTATTCTGTCCCATTTAACCTATTCCTCAACTTTTTGTACTTTACTGACGGGACACCCTGTACAATATCAGCTGTTGGCTGTTGTTTCAAACTTCAAAGTTATGGTGAGGGGGGGGGGATGGAATCGCTTTCCCTAAAACCACCTACATAAAAACAATTTTGGTGGTTTAAAGGGAAGTTCCCCCCCACTTTTTTCTACTTAATGCATGTAGCTGCTGATTGACGTTTTGACAAGTCTCAGCTGATGAGATAGGTTTTAATGGGGACGTGGAGGTAATAGATATCTTCCCCTAAAACCGTCTAAATATTGTGAACTAAGTATAATCAAGGCCATTCTAGACTTAAGTCACAACAATAATGATGATCATGCTAAAACCACATTACACTGAATCACCCGGACAATGCTGTCAACAAAAGCTGAAAACTAAATTTGCTAACAACAAAACTATCAGAATGAGCGCATCTATTTCTGATTTCTCACGTACACTGACTTTTAAACCAAGCCAAACTAAAAAGACGTGTTACTGTAAACTATAAACATAGTATCGGAAACTATATACAAGAAATTCTTTATGGTAGTACACCTTGCATCATAAGGTTCAATGTGAGTTGCGCATTTATATATCTACTGACTAAACACCATTACAATGGTTCTATTAAATTAAAAAAATAGCCAAAGCTAATTCAGATGGGATATGTACTCCAGTATACAAAGTCAATAGTGATACAGTACAACCTCAATAACAAGTCTCATGAGGATTATAAAGTTTGACTCCTTATCGAGGATTGCAACATTTAATACTTTTCAATGAAATGGCGACCATACAAAGTAGGCATTTTAAGCAAAGTATGAATGGAGATGAGTGTAGGATGAGTGGCGCGATCTTGTAGTATTTTTAGTGACTAAGGCCGACTTATTCCTTAGACACAGCTATTAATTAATAGCCCATACAGCTAATGGCAACCAAGGGACCTACAGTTTATAGTGGAATTCGAACCACATTTTTTGCCTTGGTATACACAAATTGGTCTAATTTTCAGGATAGTACTGTGGATAGTCGTAGTACTCATTCGTGCGGACGTTAATCCACACCAGGGAGTATCGCATCCACAGTGCATGCCTATAAATATCCACAATTCGTAACCTCCTAGTAGCTGGATTACAGGACGATAATTAATTTAATTAAGATCGATAAAAAATCAAGGGTATTAGAAAATAACACTTGTAATTAAGGGCCACTTGTTATCGAGGGTCTTGTTATTGAGGTTCCACTGAACAGTACAGTATACAATAATCCAACACCCCCTTTGAATCGCCTCGCTGACTTATTGCAAATGCTACACACACAAGGTCCAGGGTCCGATGCTGTGGCTACAACCAGGTCCAAGGTCTAGTGCTATGGCTATAGCCAAGTCCAGGGTCCGGGATTGTGGCTATAGCCAGGTCCGGCGACCC